TTGAATTGTTTCTGTGTCAAGGACCCGAGATTGAGGAAGACACAGACCATCCAGTTGTAGTTTTGCAGAGGGAATTCTCCTTGTAGCATTTGAAAACAAAAAAAAACAAGAAGCACCCATATAGGTACAGTACACATCCTCCCCTTTCTCTGCCAATTCTTAACTGACAAATTGGTCAAGGCCACAACTGTCTACTTTTTTCTTGTTTAGTTTGGATATTCAAATGACCAACATTTCTCTAGGAGAACTCCATAGCAATAAATTCACCACATGACTGCAGAGAAATCTTTGGAAAGTCATGGAACAGGTTGTTCAATTGTGTCAGGAGGGAGGGAGTTGTGATGTTCTCTTCCAAGAACAATCTTAATATTTTTTTACCAACCTTTCAGGCAACAGCATTGTTGTCCATTGTTACACTCCTATATCTGAGTCTGACACAAATTATCATACATATTTCATTCTGTATTTTACCTTTTTTTCCTTTCTGACTAAAGCTAGCCCCCCAACTGCCATTCCTCAATCTCTCCAGCCAGCCAGAGAGATTTTTTCCCTCTCTCTCCACCTCCAGAGAGCTCTTCATCCAACCAAATATTACAGTTAGGATGAGTAATAATAACCTGACAGAAAACATTTTCCTCATTTGAGGATGGACTCTTTAATCCCTGAATCTGATATTTCTTATCCCTCCCCTACCTACCAAGGCATTTTATACAAGCATGAATCAAAAGCTTATTTTAATCCCTCCCCTCCACACCTTTAGGTTGGTTGCTGTGACATTAACAAAGTGAAGCCATCTATTCCACCTCACAAATGAATAAATATCTGTCCTGAATATTCTTGACTCAACTCAGTTTTAGGCTTTGCCCTCATCACAGTAAAGTCATATTGAACAGAGTGATTGAATCACAGCTCAAAGGGCCACGAGGATCATTTAGTGCAACTCTCTGCAATGTGCAGGAAAACTATTTAAGCCATTCTCCAGAGGTGGCTGTCCAACCTTTGCTTAAAAATTAGCAGTGATGAAGAGCTCACTGCCTTCATAGGTAGTCTGTTTCACTATTGGAAGTTTTTTCTTTATATTGAAATGAAATCAAAGTACAGTAGCTGCAATTTATACCCATTATTTGACATCCTAGTTTCTCTCGTAATGGAGAATGGTTCTTGACCATCTTTCCTGTGACACCCTTATAGAACTTCATAGAGCATGTCTAAAAGTCAGTTAATGCTGGGAAAGAAAGGTAGGAAAATAATTACCATATATATTCACAAATAAGCCAAGATTTTTAGTTTCCAAAATACACCCCAAATAAGTTTGGCTTATCCGTGGATGGGTTTATCCACAAGTATATATTGTAATACTTCTATCCAGTATATACTCACAGATAAGCCAACCCTCAATTTTTTAACCAAAATACCATGAAAAATGTATCACCCCAGATAAGCCAATTGTGAAAATTAAAACATATGGAAATTTTGAGGGTTGGCTTTTCTGCGGGTGGCACATTTTTCATGGTATTTTGGTTAACTTTTGAGGGCTGACTTATCTGCAGATGGCCTTATCTACCAGTACATATATTACCATACAGATGAAGAGAGAAGATATAATATTCTTATACATGCAGAACAATGTGGACATATTCTGAATATACAATAATATAGAGAGTAGAAACATTTATAGTTCTATTTAGCTGTGGTCAATATTTACAAAATTGGAAGAGAGCAGGTTGGAGCTATCACCAGTAAAAACAGAGACAAAGAACAGATGCATATATTTAAACACATTACCTGCCACAACGGTCGGTTCTGAAATTTCAGATCCATTTTGTCTACCATTGCTCTGTGAATAAATCTAGATGCAAACATGGCATGCAGAGAATGAGCCACTGCATAGATGGCATTGTAGATGCTATAGCTATGGCCAGTCATGTTCATTTCAAAAAAAGGAGCAGGAAGGCTTTCTAGTTTCTCCTCTCCAGAGCAAACAAGATCAACCACTTTGTCCATAGTTGAATTTGGAAATATACAGTTGAAGGCATTTTGCCAAAAGTCTCTTATAAACCCATCTGCTGCTGCACTAGAAGGATTTCTGCTCTCAACAAATAACTTATAGCCTGGTAAATCACTGGAGTGAACTAAGAAGGACAGAGCACCCTGGAGCATTTCTGTATCCCAGTTCCTTTGATAGGCAAATGAAATGAACTCCATCTGGGATGTCATTATCCAAACTTTACCTTTTGGCACCCTTGTCACATCTTCTAGATTTGACAGAACTGACAACCATCTTAAATATACAATGGTATAAGACTCTCCATACACTATCATTATATTGGCTTTGCTACTCATTATATTGTCATAAAGTTTCAACCCATATTGAATTGTTTCTGTGTCAACAACACGTAATTGAGCAATTCTTTCTACAAAGGCAAAACAGACACCATGCTGAGAAAACAGTAGAAGTAGAGTTTGCACAAATTTTTCTCCATTCTCATCTTCCAGAATAATGACTCCAATCCACGTCCACCTGAAATGCAGAATTAAAGAGAGGATTCCTTGGTACTGGAGAGATTCTTTGGGGGCCATCTGATAGAAGAATAAGCCTGGAGTTTTATCATTCATCACTGGAGCAGAGCCATAAATGAGCTAAAGAAAGAAGTGGTATGGGAATGGGAGGGAGGAAGAAATGGTAATAATAATAATAACAGCAACAATAACAACCACCACCACCACCACCACTTTTCTATAACAAAGATTTCAAGTTTTTCATTGACTGGGTTCATATAACATTCTAGCTTAAAAAAGAAATTGAATATTTCAGCATGTTGTGGGAACAAGTGGTATACATTAATGTGTGTAATGTGTGTGAAAACGAAGCTGAAGGATGTGGCATCACAATATAAGCCCTGCCCTTTTGTACAATGCATGTACAAAAGGGGCAGTTTTTCTATTCTAATACCATGTCAACCACTTTGCCATTTTGATACACACACCTAGGGAAACCTCTGGTGGAAATCCAGCCATTGTTTTAGCAAGCATGTTAAGCAATTGCTAAAGAGAGAGATGTGGTTTATGAGCTTGGGCATCGTTCTGGGAACACAGCAATTGTGTTTTGGTAACCTGGGTTTAGAGTTTCAGGTGGAATGGGACATTCCATATCGGATATCCATATCCATATCCACATTCCGACAGCTACCATATCGGCAGTTATTAGAGGTTCTGTGAGGCCCTGTAAGATATTCTGTGATTCTGATATCTCTATCTGTACTCTGATAGGAGACTCTATCAGACAGTCTATCAAGGACACTTAGGAGACAGTAAAAAGTCCAAGCTGATCACATTCAGCACATGCCCAAGTGGTCAGTTGCTGGTTACATAAAGTATATAGCTGTTCCTATTTATGACCTAGTTAGCCAATGGCCCCTGGCAGTGGATTTTGAGTGTCATGAAAAGACAGAAAAAGTATTTAGTAATTTACTTTAATATTACTGAAATTTTCATTGTAACTACTAAGGTGAAATTTTTGTGAGCCAAAATTATACATGGGCCAAGAGAATTTGTCTGGCTTTGGTTATGATGTATGTTGATTCAAGTAAGTATGGTGGATACCCTTTGCTGATCTATGTCTTGTGACAGAAGGCTGGGTTTCTTGATATATGTTTATAAAACATGATATAGGAGTTTTTCATTCACTTTCTGTTAAAAAAAATCCTGAAACTGACAGAAAATAGGAAAGGTAAAGCAAACAAATGCAAGGTAAAATGTAGTTACAGAATAGCTAGGTCAATAAAAGATCATATCCAGAGGATCTTGCATAGTGAAACCAAATGTGGACAAAACCCCCAATCAATACAAGAAGTGGAAAATAGGAAAGAATAAAATATCAGTAAGTGCACGTACTCCTGACTTGGTGGGCTATGGACAACAGTATTCAAAGATCTGATCTTACACAGAATAGCAGGAGCATGTGGACTTCTGGGGGAGGTATGGCAAACTGATGACGTCTCCACAAAGGCAGAGCCGATGATGCTGGCAAAGACCAAGGAACCGGTGAGTAGACTGGTCCCTCAGAACCTCTCCAGATAATGAGAGGATGGGAGAATGCCTGCATGTGTTCCAGATGGCTGCTCCTCATGAGGAGACTGTGAAACCGTGGTTTTCCACAGGTTTGAGTACCAGGAGACAAAGAGATCAGCCATCTTGATTGCAACTGCAGCAGAGCCTATTAAAGGACGCTAAGTTCACAAACCTCACTTTCTATCACTTTTGGAAATTGCCTATTAGCCATCTTAAAGCTATTTCTGGGGAAGGTATGGCAAACTGAAGATGTCTCCACAAACGCAGAGCCAGTGATGCTGGCAAACACCAAGGAACTGGTGAATAGACCAGTTTCTTGGAACCTCTCCAGATAAGGAGTACCTTCAGAAAAACAAGTTTGAAAAGTCAACTGGTGAGTTTTTTTTCAACTCTGAACAAAAGAACAAGTAGAGTAAATGGAAGGAGGATGTAAGGAAGGAGGATGTGGAAGATTCCTGGCACAGAATGGTAAGAATTAAGTTACGGAATACCCTGCTAACAGGAAGTATGAAAAAAGGATGTTCAATGGAATATTAATTAATTAATTAATTAATTAATTAATTAATTTGGTTTATATGGGACCATCTCATATACAAGATTCTGGGCAACTAAAGTTAAAAATGCTATGGATAGAAAAAATGTATAGAAGAGAATGATTGCTATAAAAAATCAGAATGAGAGAAAGATATTGCATAATGTATATATAGAGGAAAAATAGCTGCAAAGAATGTACTCCAAGAGAGTAAAGAATGTTCAGTTTAAAGAGGCAGAGAAAATGCAGAGTGACTGATGGAAATAAAACATTGTTTTGGAAATGGGTGAAGAAGGCTGAACCAAAGGCCTCCAATACAACTAATGAGATTGAAAAGAAAAGTAAATGATTTGGGATGAAGGAAAAATGACAGTATGCTAGAAACTATATTTCAGAGATTTGTATGGGAATGATAGTGATAAGCTGAAAAATAGAACTGGGGAAGTGCAATGTAGCTTTATGTCGGTTAGGGGCATGAATTTTTACTCTTCTGCAGTTACCAAAAATGTATGAAATGTGAAAAAGAATTTTTTGGGAGGAGGGAAATGCTTATTGATTTAAAGCAGTGTTTCTCAGACTTTTTTTTTGCCCCTGGCCCCCTTCTGGCCTTGTTTTTCTCTGGCGGGCCCCCTTTCCAGGTCCCATGATGGGACATGGAGATGGGAGAGTAACTGGTGCATTTGCTGGCACCAACAAGATGGTGTTTGCAGTATAATATGCTTTGCTTTTCTGGGACTCCTTCAGCACATGCCATAGCTCTCCTGTTACATGTATTTCATCTGTGGCCCCCCCTGAAATATCCTAGGACCCCCAGAGGCCATACGGCCCTCGGTTGGGAACCACTGATTTAGAGATATGATAATCAGAATAGGTTTGATTTATAGAAAGTTTTAAGCAAGTATGGGATTGAAGTGTGGTTGTTGAATCCTATAAGAATGGTACACAAGACAAGTAAAATTTACATTACAGCACTAGGCACTGTTCAAAGCCTATTAAAAAGGGGCTCCTTTTAAAGCCTTCTTAAACTCCTCCCACATTTGTATTGTTGATTATATATTATTTATTTTGATACTACTGCAGGAAGATGAAAGGTATAAAAATATTCTTTTCCTTTATATCTGACTATATTCTTTTCAATGATTTATTGCTGATTTTGAACAAAAATATTATTAATATGGTTTATTGCTGGTTTGATGCTTATTAGGTACTTTAAGCATATCTGCTATAGCTGGAACAGGCTCTACATTTTAAAAAGTTTATAGTATCAGCTGGTATCTGACCAACTAGGATAAAGAAAAGTTTTGAACAGACAGCTTTTGCAAATGAATGGAGGGCTTTATTTCTTAGCCTGGAAATGTATATATTCCTGCCTCAGATTTTATCCTAAAAAAAAAAGGAAACATGACACTTTTCTATTAATGAAACACATATCCTACCTGTGGGATCTTGTAGATATCCAAAATGGTTGCAATATTAACGGAGGTTTGTGAGTCCAATCCCCCAATGACTGCAGCCAGTTTATTTTGGATGCCACATATATAATTTGGGATAAAACTCTCCACTGTGTATATGAGTAGCATTGTAGTATAGCATGTCCACTGTGCACTGAAGTAGCTGTCATAGATGCGGAAGCCCAAAGAGATATTTGGTAAGATCTGAGAGTTTTCATTTATCTTCATTATTGCAAATACCAAGGCCAGAATATGCTGGTAATTTTTAGTCACAACACTACAAAAAGGGTTATAGAATCAATAGAATAGACAAGTTTAAGAAATGACCATCACTGCTTTCAGAATGATACTGTAATTTATTTCAGTATTCCTGTGCAATATTCTTGAGGCAAGTCTTACTCTAGTACAATGTTTCTTGACCTTGGCAACTTTAAGATGTGTGGACTTAAACTCTAGGGAATTCTGGGAGTTGAAGTCCACACATCTTAAAGTTGCCATGGTTGAGAAACACTGCTGTAGTAGCTATAAATATTAAAGAATTTGTACTTTTTTTTTTAATCTAGTTTTCATCTTTCAATACCATTTCTTTTCATAATATGTTACAGAAGCAAAAGGCATGATTTAAAATCAGGAGAAACTTCTAGTTCAGTGTTTTTCAAACTTGGCAATATGCTGGCTGTGGAATTCTAGGAGTTGAAGTCCACAAATCTTAAAGTTGCCAAGTTTGAAAAACACTGTTCTAGTTCATGCCTTCATTATCTATCTATCTATCTATCTATCTATCTATCTATCTATCTATCTATCTATCTATCTATCTATCTATCTATCTTCATTTCTTTATTCCAACTTTGATTTCATGTTTTTGTATTTGTACTGCAGGAATCTACTAGCATTCAATAAGTGTGCTATTTGTATAATTTCTTACTAATAGTTTGTTTTAATACAATTAATACATTGAAATGTAACAGAGTTGGGTAGAAATTAATTTGATATTCAACCCTCTCAGATATTTTAAAAATGATGGCTTAGGAAAATGAATCACATATACTGAGTCACAATGCTAAAATTGACATATTTCCAGATTGCTATTGCTTCATTTAATTTAAGTCACAAGACCAGCAGCAATAAGAATATGCATATTCAGTTAATAAAAGAAAAGAATGAAAATAGAAAAAATTAAAATTAAAACTGGGTTTAATGCTAAGGCAAAAGAACCATTACAATCCAGGGACTGCATTTGGCACTGAAAAATCATTCATCTTTGAAACTGTGACAAAGACATAGAAATGCTTTTCACACACATTATGCAGATAGAAAATTTATAAAAAATCAAAAGCATCATACCTTCAAGTCTGTGAATTCTTTCAAGATCTGTCTGAATTAAAAGTCCACCATTCCCAAGAAATACAAATCTTGGATAGCAAGGACCTGTTCCCCACATATTTGAACCCTGTTGCCAGAAATAGTAGCTCCAATTGAGTACAATTTGATGACTTCTAAATTAGGAGCCCAGTTCTCAACCTTGATACAAATTTACCTGTGATTAAACTCACTAAGTTCAAAATTCACTACATATATCAATAGAATAGTATACTATAAATGGAATGTAACTTCATATAAAGAAATCTCTTAACATATAGATTATTTGAAAAATTAATCAAGATATTTCTTAATATGAATTGGTGAATGCAGATCTCTGGGCTTTTATAGCATTAGCAGTTATGTCTGCAAATATCTAACTTGACTGAAGTGTTGGTAGATTTGTTTAACTGATTGATTTTTTTATCATCTCACCATTTGGGCAGGAGATCAAGGCAGCATATATGGAGCTCTCTTTTCCTCCTTCTTCCTGACAACACCAACCCTGTCAGTAGGTTGGAGTGGAAGAGTGTGACTGGCTTAAGGTCACCTAGCGAGCTTTCACAGCTGAGAAACTGGGTCTCCTCAGTACCAGCCATGCCCCTCAATGACTATATAGTATTTATTCTCTCAGCCTTTGAAATATTAAACATACTTCTAAATATGACTGGAAGAGAAATAAAGGTTTGAATATATCTGGGGGGGGGGCATACCTTTCTTTGAACAAGCATTAAAATCAGGTGGATTCAGGATAAATCTGAAGAGAAGAAAGCTAACCTTTTTCTTACAGTTAAATGTAGAATGCTTATATCTTATAGGGATTCTTGATAGGGATAATTAAACTAAAATTATTTGCCAGGAAAAGCTTGCTTTTCCCATAATGTTATGACCCCAGTCCCGATATATAGGATGATTATAGATATTCATTCAAATATATTCAGTACTTACACAGAAGAGACCCTGACTGTAGATTCCATATATAATATTAGTCTGGATTGAATATTTCAACCTTTGTTCCAGCCAGACCCAAAGCCTTTACTGGGGTTAAGTCATAGGGAACATACTTACAATGGCAAAAGAAGAAATGGAAATAAGATAAATGTTAACAATCTTAGTTTCTTACTTAATTTCATCAAACACTGTTGGCAGCGGTTCTTCCGTGAAGGCTAATGTATTGGAGACAATAAAGCTGTGAGAAGCAATGACACCAATGATGATGTCTCCTGACTGATGATAGGTCTGAGGTGGCAAGTGAGGAACACGCAACCCACATTTAGCAATGGGAGTCTTGTACAATATGCAAGGAATTAGTAGAAATAGTAATGCCACCATCCTATGTATAGATCTCTCCTCTGCTCCCCCCACTTTTTTTTTTTCCTTTCTGATTTATTCTTTCAACCCTTTTAAGCCTGTTAGTGTCTTAAGGGTTTAGTGGAAAATATAAATGATTAGATAGCAGATATGAGAATCTGTGATTGTGCCTGTATCTTAGCCATATCTGTAAATGTAGAAAGCATGAATCAGCCAACATTTTGTAATTTGCAATGTTGTTACTGAAATCCAAGAGGCTACCTTGAATTCTTATTCACTGTACTACTCATCATATGGACTCTGTCAGTTAGTAATTTAAAGATCAAAACAGATGAATCCATACTTGTTCCTAGCTCCTGCCTACAACCTCTGAATGCTACATGAGATATATACTATCTTTCATAGATTTTGTTGTTCAGTTATGTTACCACCTGCAGCCACTCTACTCAGGTGGTTTGGGTTGACATGCAGCAGCATTAATTGCAGTACTTCTGATAATAAAGTTGCAGAATCCCTGAGGAATTGCAGAAAGAAGCATGTTTGTCAGATACAAACAGAAGTCTTCTGTGTAACTTTGTTGGAAAACAGGAGATAGTGTGAGTTTTGAAAATCCTGGGATGAAATTTCAGTAAGTATGCATTGCGATTGTCCAATTCATGTAGCAATTTATATTCTTTAAATATATAGATGCATTGATGATACATTTTAAGTTGATTTCATTTTTAAAAAATACAAAAAGAACTAAAAAAATTAAAAAAAAACCCAAACTATAAACAAGAATAAAAAACAAGAGAACATAACTAATAATGGGCAAAACAAAGGAAAAATATGAACCATTTAGGCATATCAAGTGTATATAAAATATGAAACCTATATGAAAATTTCAAATTAAACAAAGAAACTATTTTTGTAAAGTGTCATGAAAGCTGTGCCAAAGGGAAATATATTTCATGGGAAAAAATCCCTTTTCAAAAATTTACAAATTACACATTTCTTGAATCCGATCCTTAATGTCCAGAATAACTGTGCTTTTCCAAATTCTCAAAATTGTTCTCTTAGTAATTCCCTATACCACATATAACCCTGCTAGGGGGAACAGGTATCTAATGGGGGCAGGGGTATTTGGTATTATGTTTTCTCATCCCTCTCTTTTTGGGAGTACAGGGAGTAAAATGATTAGAAAGAGAGAATTGGAAAAGCCCATTTTTGTCTAGTCATTCTAGGGGAGGGGGGGGAGAGAAAAGAGACAATAGTTTTATTCACTTCACCAATGGAAAAAGAGAGTAATACATCTGATTTCCTGAAATACTCTTGAGAAGAGCCAGAAAATGTCATTTTAAAACCACTTAAAAGAAGCGTTCACGGAAGGGTTTCAAATGTAGATCAGAACTCAAGTTTAAAAGAACAACTTTGGATCATCATTCGCACAAAGCATAATGCACAAGAAGTTGAAGTTTTTGTTCTTTCCTGCATAGAGTAGTACTGATTTTTCTCAAAGCTGAATAGTGCAGAGGTACAATCCTGTTCCATGATCTTCTGTGAGGGGAAGCTGGTCAAAAATATTGGTAGCAGCTTTTTTGCCAACAAAACAACTTCACTGCAAAGAAAAGTTATTTCCCTTGTACCTGTTATACAGACAGTCCTCTATTTATGAACAGGTTACATTCCAAAAGGCTGTCCGAAAGTCCACTTTGTTTCTAAGTCCAACCAAGTATAAAACACTCAGCTTCCCAAAGTGCGATGGTGCCGCCAAGCATACATATGGGGTGTGCACTGAAAACCATCTATTTCCTGCCTTGTAGACAGGTTTGTTCATATCGGGAAAAGTTTGTAACTCAAATGTTCTTAAGTAGAGGACTGTCTGTATTTCATTATTGCTTCATTTCCTTTAGTCTGTCTTCAACTCCTAGAACAACCTTCAACATCAGGAGATGTTTCATATGCTCATAATTGCTATGTAAGCAAAGCATTGCACACTGAATTCCACAGAAACGTCTTGTTTGTGTGCACTTTCATATGCAAGGTATAGCATAGCACATCTAGACAAACTGTATAGATTTGGCTTTCCATGAAAATTCAGGTTTATTTTACTAAGGCCCCTGTGAGACTGCAGTGCTCCTGCCATTCCTGAGAAATTGATATAAAGCCACATTGTTATTGCTCTGAAACAAATGATAAGTATGGAGAAGTGTAAAAAAGGCTCACGGGATTCATCATCTTATGATTCTTTAATGTTATATAAATGAATAAGAGGAAGGGGAAGGGGAGAAGGAGGAAGAAACAAGAAGAATCATCTGATGATGATGATGATTTCAAAATACGTATGATTTCAGAAGAGAGTACCATATAGTGGGAGCTTTGCCATACAGATTTGACAAAGGTCAGTTTCAGCAAACCAGAGAAGACAATTTAGACAAACTCAGACATGTTCTTCCAAGTTTTATTAATAGATAACAACAGATATCGTGTTGATAATCAGTGAAGGAAGCGTAGCAATATTAGCATCAGCAACCAGAAACATCCATTGCTAGGGGCAGCATTAATGAAACTGGATTCTACTTCTGGAGCATGTCCCAAGATCCAACTGCTGTGGGCGCTAACCCGGGTGTAGACACCAGGGCGTTCGGGGGCAGCACAGATATCTCCCCAGCTCACTAGACCAGCCAAAACCCAGGCTCCATCCCATGGGCAAAGCAATGGTCCCCCCGAGTCCCCCTGTAAAATAAAGGAATAAAACATTACTCTCCAAGAATATAACAGGAATTGTCTACTGTTGACTTCTCCAGAAAGGGTTCTTACATATCACTGACAGGTGAATCTTACTTCAGCACCGGAAATATGATTGTATCATCATACCCAAAGGCTGTGCATAAGATAGTTTGGGTGGGACAAAGAGCATTGTGTTCCAAGAAAATAAAATGACTGAAGGGTTCAGAAGGAATATCCAGCTGACTCCCACTCATGTCTCCCAGCATCTTCCATAAGGGACAATTGCCTCTTCCCGCCTAATGGTAAGTTGACCTTGCACTATCGGTACATTTGTAACAAAAGCAAATCTTGAAAACATTCACAAAAGTATCCTTTATCAAAAAGGTAGTAAAACCTGCTCAAGGAAGTAGATGTACATAAATAGAATACATCTCACCATAACAACAACTTTATTAACAGATGTCTTTGCAATGGAAAGGAAGTAACTCACATTAAAAGGCATATTAAAATGCATGGGGCACACATAAGCCATTTTCTTTCTCATATTTATTTTGCTCTTCAGTACATATGAAAAAATAGGTCTACAAGTAGCAGAATGTTTAATACTGTAATCCTCAGTCAGCCCCTTGGAACATTCAGTATCTAAATTCAGCAAACAACCTAGAATTTATGAATAATTTAGCAATGAGCATTCCCCAATATTAACTTTGAAAATCATGATTCTCTTTACAACGATTAAACCAATGAATTAGGCAGAAGGGAAAACACATCTATTGAAAGGAGGCATTCATTGCCATGGGAGCTGATTTAGTCAACTAGAAGGTCAAGTATGGAAATAGGAGCTTTAATTCTTCAGGAACCTTGGCCTCAAGTTGAGAAGCTGAAAACAATCCAAACTAGCATGACAAATATTTGCCAAGGATACCTTCCAGAGCTAGAGTTCAAATTAAGGTGGATGCAATTGACTTTGTCCACAAAGAACTATGCAAATTGCTCACACTGAGTTACTCACTATTCTAGCTTCCTCCTCCAATACTTGGTGGAGGAGATGCCTCAGAATAGAGAGAAGCAATGCTGATCTTTTCAGTGTAAACTGAAAACAAAATGGAGGCAGAGAAATAAGTACTTTTTGTTGTCTTCATTGCAGCAGAGTAGGAGTTTACATGTGGGTTTTATCTGACACACAACCTGATCCATCCTAAGACTTCTTCCACTTAACATCCAGTCTCCTTTATTGTTCTCCGCTCCCTAGTAAATCAAGAAACTGACTGAGTCTGCCTGAGGGAAGACAGCACCTAGGAGCAATAGTGTTACACCCAAGCTGTCTCCATAGCTCATAGATCAGCCAGGCGGTCATTGTCTCCTGACAATGTTGGAAATTGCCCATGTGAGAAGAACATAATTATAAAGGTAGCTATGCTTTACTAATTTAAAATATAAAACTAGCCTTTAAGCAATAAATGATGATGCTATAACAAAACTTGCTTATATGACAAGGAATAAAAATTGCTATGTGAATTGCAGTTTTCAGACCTGTATCAGCTATATTAAACAGGACACCATAAAACTGTAAAAACAAGTAAAATGCTGATGGAAGGAATGTGGCAAGAGAAAGGAACAGGCAAGTGTGGTAAAATTAGCCCCAGGGATGTTGCAATTCAGTTGCAAAGCCTGGGAGTCATGATTGTGGTTTGCAGTTTTGAAGGATAAAAAGGATTGCTGGGAGGGGATCAGGGCCACTCGGCTTCAAGCTGTCTAAGTTGACCGCTTGTCCATGCTGGTCCTCATTGCAATGGGAATTTAAGTAAGTACGTTGTATTTTGTTTATTGCTTTGTATTTGTTTATGGAACTAACATTTAATAAAATCCTTATAACTTTGAAGTGGTTTGTGTTCTGGTGTGTCTGTCTCTCATACTTGACGAGGTTTTTCCCCTGACACCCAAGTACATTCAAAAAACCATTATGATTCATTATATACTTGTGCTGAATCATTCTGAATGGTCCTACACTCCTGTAGAAGTTTATAACAACTAAGAACCCAAAACTGATCAGAGAATGGTTCCCCATTCCTATAGTAGAGATTTCACCCCTACCCCATCCTGCCCCAGTCACCATCTTTCAACCTAAATTATATTAAAGTATTGTTGCCTGCAATATTGGGAGAGAACTGCAAGCTGCTGAAAAAAGGGTTAGGTATAAAGAATGTTAAAGCCAGGTTAGAAACCGGAAGACCAGGAATTCTAGTCCTGCCTTAGGCACAAAGCCAGCTGGGTGACCTTGGGCCAGTCACTCTCAGCCCTAGGAAGGACGCAATGGCAAACCACTTCCAAAATCTTGCCAAGAAAAATGCAGGGACTTGTCCAGGCAGTCATCAGGAATCAACAGTGACTCAAAGGTGTGCGCGCACACACAAACATCTAGAATAAAATAATAGATAGCAATACATTTTTCTCTCTCTGAGCCAGTTTGTTGTAGTGGTTAAAGGCATCAGGCTAGAAACTGGGAGACCATGAGTTCTAGTCCCACCTTAGGCACAAAGCCAGCTGCGTGACCTTGGGCCAGTCCCTCTCCCTCAGCCGTAAGAAGGAGGCAAGGAAGCCACCTCCAAAAAACTTTGCCAAGAAAACGTCAAGGACTTGCCCAGGCAGTCACCAAGAGTCAACAATGACTCAAAGGCGTGTGTGCATGCACACACACAAATGAGTCAGTCTTACCTGGCAAGCATCCTTCTTTCCTTCCATGTAGCCTGCACATATCATGTCATCTTTTATTACATTCTCTATCCAGGGCACTTTAAGGTCACTGTAAAGAGCCTCACAGGTAGCCCTGTCCACAAGGGGAAGAAGCACTTCCTGCAAAAGTCCGGGTTCAGGAAGTGGGACTGGGAAAAAGAGAAAGGATAGTTATTTCTCCAGGTTTTATCAAAGGGGACAGCATCATTTATATCTAGGTAAAAGAAGGTATTTCAACATACTGAAGAGCTTGTCAGCATATTTATTGTTACTGAAATTTAAACAATTATTATTGTTTAAATAATAATTTAAAGTATTAAAGTATGCCCTCCTTTAATCAATTATTAAAGATACAGGAGTTCTAAACAATTATTAAAGATTCATGCACCCCTTTTCCTCTTGCATTTGGCCATGCAATTATTAAAATCCTTGATACCTTAATTCTATTTTTCCTCATTTCTTTTTGCTTTCCTCAAGAAAAAGTATCCTTAATGTCAGGCTTCATGAATCCATTTCAAAATCCTGCTCCATTCCAACAGAGCTGATTAGTAGGAGTTGGGAGCAGGGTAAGGTTCTGAAAACTCTTTTGGCGCTAAGGATTTTGTGATTAACTTGTTTCTGGCATGTATTTAAGATAAAGAAAAGTAACATTTTTTTAAAAAAAAAGTCTACTTGACTTTTCCACTCAAGAATGGCTCACAACCAAGAATTAAAAAAAAAAAAAAGACATCAAAACGAAAGTAACAAAATGTGACAGTTATTGATAGCAGAATTCTATACTACTGATTCAGAAGGAAGCCCACAACCTAAATCAACAGTTAACACCAAATTACAGTTATGATTCCTTTGCAAAAGAGATCTTTAAAGAGTCAAGCTTTTATCTGAACAGTGAAAACATGCATTTATAAATCACCAGTTTAATCTGAAGGTCATCTGGGTTGAGTGGAAAGATCAGAATTATAGTGTATATACATAGGTATCCCCCTAAGAGAATCAAAGGTAGCTTTATCACTGCATGAACAGAAATATTCCTTTTGCTGAAAAGTTAATGAAATTTAACAATTTTGTTCAGATTTTGAATTCATGTTACAAGCCCTCAATTAGGAGGATCTACCTACACTCAGATACAGTGGTACCTCTAGTTACGAACGCCCCTACTTACGAATTTTTTGAGATATGACCAGCTCCAGCCCCAAAAATTTACCTCGACATCCGAACTCGCTTCGACTTACGAACCGGATCCGCTGCCATTTTCCGCCCGTTCCACGTGGTCTGCGGCCATTTTTCTGCCCGTGCCACATGGTCCGCGGCCATTTTCCGCCCTGCTCCACGTGGTCTGCGGCCATTTTTCTGCCCGTGCCACATGGTCCGCGGCCATTTTCCGCCCTGCTCCACG